GTTTTTCTACCAGATTCTTTCGTTCTGTGTGAAAACGTATCGAATGAATACATTTTTATTAAGATTTTAGGGGGAGAAGGGCTGTATTCTAAATGATTATCATAATGAATTATTATTTTGAAGGTTATCGTAAAAAAGAGTATGTTTGTGATCTACAATGAACATTGTTCACTACACCAAAATGATTTATTGTAGATCACTTAACCTTTTCCATGATAATCTTCACAATAATGTCGTGAAATAATACAACAGAAAAAAGTTGCTTACAAAATAATAAAGCCAAATGTGCATACAAAATTATTGCATAATGAAAAAAATAATAGATATAACAAAAACAACAAAAACATAAAAAATGGGTATTTTCGAAAAAAACTTACTTTACAACTTAACATTCTTAAAATGTAATATTACATGGCGTCTTTGACGATCTGCTAGTCGACTGGGGAGTTGAGGAGGGGTTCAAATGCAAGTCACTGCATGATAACAGCACAATCTGGTAATGTCGCGAAATAATATATAATAAATAATGTTACGAAATATCGCAATGGTTCATAGTGTACTACTAGGTCACTGTTGGATTACCTACTCTACATATAAGTAATTAATATAACAAATAGAATCGAGAATATACATATATATAGAATGATTATCTTAGTCACATCAAAAATTTTTTCGCAGCGCGACTACAGTCCAACATCAAAGAACAATATATTCATAGATGTACGTTTTGTGATCATCATTTCCATTAAAATTCATTTTTCGGTTGAAATTATGTGGTCTTTAGATGTGTCAGCGATTCTTTTCTTCGCTTCGTGTAAGCTCATAAAACCGCTCAATCTTCCAAAAAAACGCGGATTGAAATGCATCGCGCGATCATAGCCGCGGAATTCCGTGTGAATGGCCGTATGAAACTCAACGGTCTTGCCTACTTCGGATGATAAAATGTTATCGTTAAGCTGCAGCTTAAACTTGGATGAGAAATGTTGGAGCAATTTAGTTGCGGTGATTGAAGTATCAAGAACTTTTCTATTTCTTTAGAAATAGAAAATAGAAAAGTTATCTCTCGTATTTTTAAGTAAAAGCTAACAGTTTGATTAGGGGATAACATCATTTTACAGTGTATAAAATTGAATGCTTATTTTATTAAAAAATCGAGAAAATTGTATTTAGAATATAAAAAAATTACGATTTTTGTGTATTGATTATTGCTGTGTAAATAATTAAAATAATTAAAGTTTAAAATGCAAATAATTAATGAGAAAATTCATAATTTTCAAGTCCTATTTTATCTACTTCATTTATCTCTTATTTGGCTTATTTATGTAATAATTAACTGCGTTTCAACTCTTTGTGCTTTGCATTTTATACTCTGCGCAGCACTTCATTTTTCATAAACTTGGAAGCGAACTTTACACGGTATCCTAGTAAAATCTTGAAGTCGCTTTTGTCCCTTCTTTCTTTAGCATTCATGAATTCAATTATGTGTTGTATTTCCCAAGGATGCCATATGTCTACCAATTTTACAATTTGGCTTACGCCACGACGTTTTTCGTTGCACGACAGAAATAGAATGATGCCACACGGATAACGAGAATTTCTCGTAAGCGGAAAGAAACTAGCACGTGCATTTTTCATCATTCCGTAGAAGGATACGACAAGATACCGCCAGTCGCGAGGAAATGCAGTCATATTTAATACTTTGCATTCACAAAATTGAGATAAGGTTAAACAAGAATATTACTTGCTAAAGTTATAATATTAAACTTTGGTTTCCTGATTGTGCACATTACATTATTTCAAACTGTTATGTAAGTTTTACTAAAGTAACGTGAATCTTTCATGAAATTATTGTATATATATCTCAGCAAAAATATTTATCTCGATTACAATTACTCTGGTTGAAAATAGATGAATCAGAATTTTCTGGCTAAATTTATTAGAATTCTAATTGAGATAACCAAAATTTAGTTGATATTATGTTTCTAGTAAAATCTACTGAAATTCTCATTTTTACCAGAATAATTATATCAATCAGAAATCAGTTATCTCAACTAGAATTCTAATAAATTTAACCAGAAAATTCTCATTTATTCATTTTTTACAAGAATTACTATTTAATTCAACTAAATTATTTTTCTTATAATACCATTACATTAATGATTGATAATATCTACAGTAATACAATATATTACATTTGATTTAATAACTTTATTATATAATTGTAATGTGTAATATATTAAAATATATAATTTAACACTATTTCTGCCTAACAAACGATATAATTCAATTTCATCTCTACAATAAATCATTATTTTTTGTCATTAGATATAAAAATTATATTTATTATATGAAAGTATGTTCATACTGAAGTAGTACAAAGATAAATTAATTTTCTGTTAAATAGTGCTTTGATAATATTTCGTATATTACGTTAACACAAGGATTCTTGGTCCCTAGACGCGATTATCACGATGTAACAGCGTTCGTTGCAGAAGAGATTTATACAGCGCGAATGTTCATGCTGTAATTGCTCGTATTTTTACTTGTCTACGGATTCGCTTCGCAGTGCTTAAATTCGTATCCTTACGCCTTTGTTCCAACTTTCGTGGGTGGGCTGTAGTGCAAATGCATATATGGAATGCAAATTCCGTGCGTTCTCCACCGGAAAGACACGCGAGAAAGGGTGAATGCTAACGAGTACGAAGTATAGTAAGACTTTATAGTAGGAAATCACCTATATCGTACTTTTTAAATTTAAACAAAATTGTAACAAAAGTATTAAAGAGATCAGAATATTTTTGTATTTATATCAAATTTTGATTCATTGGCAATAAAGCACTTTTACGGAAATAAACATTGAATTATTGTTTAACTCTTCGGTCACCTGGAGTCCAGGGACCTCAAAAAGATATGAGACTTTATATTTGTAAGATTTTTTTTTAAATGGGACTCTTCTTAAACTACTATTTATCTGAAGTTTAAGATATCCTTTTTGCACTTTCAACCGCATATGGTTCTTTGGACGTCAGCCTTGATTTTTAAATATATTAAAATTAAAATAAAAAATTTTAAAAAGCCATTTCTATATTCTATAATGTTTAAAGTATATTCAGTAATTTTTGTGATTTTAAAGAAAAGCTATAAATATGGTAATTAATGAAAATGTTGAAGTCAACTTGGGCCCCCTGTGTGTCCAATATAAAATTCTCAGGAAGTGCGACTACGAAAGGTTAAATTAAGATTTAAAAAAATAGTTTTTAGAATGATTTGGAGACCGGGTCGTTAAATTGTATCATTGGGTTTACTAAATCGTACTTCTAATAAACAATTATTAATTTTTAAAGAAAAAAATATAAATTTTCTTAAAATCCAACAAATAATACATGTCAATAATTTTTAATAAGTTATCTTATTGTTAGAAGACTCAATACAAACATACTTTTTTTTATACAAATATCAAAATATGGTGAATATAAAAGATTATTATTCAATTACTCAATCTTAACATGTTATTTAAATGTAGTATAAAGACCAGCAACAAGGACAATTTATCCTTTTTTTATTTTTAGAGAAAAATTAAATTAAGTCGAAACAGAAAATTATATATAACTGTAGTGAATGTGTTCACTAAACGTAGCAAGTATAAAATGTACAAATTAATAAAATTCATGCCACGAAGAGAGTTGTATAATATTGCTAAAAATTTCAATGCAGATATTGCATTTTCGTTTGGATTTTGATTGATGGAAAATTACTGGTACACTTGTTCGGCTTTAAGCCAGTTCAACTTTACGATATCTTATTCCTTGAGATGTCGATAAGTGTCGATAAACTCCTGCCGCAATATAAAACTTTAGCCCAAGTATCAGATCCTCGATATATCTACTAGTTATTTACAAGTCCAAATACTTCACTAATCTGTGGATTAATCCATTGAATCGACTTAATACCTATTAATTACTAGAGAGAGAATTTTTAACACGACAAATTAATAATAATTTGTAACTTAGACAGCTGAACACTATATTTTTATGTTTCGATATGTTTTCCTAAAATGAAAGCAATAATAATTTTTTATTTAATTTCCAAATGTTCAAATATAAGTAAGAATACTACAAAAAAAATTTTCAAATCGTTCTTGTAAAGTTAATTAGTCGAAGTTAAATTTATCAAGTTTCCTCAGATAATAAACATATTAAGACGTAAAAACTTTTAAATCATTAATAACACTAACAAATCATTCGAAAGTTACGAAACTTTATAAACCATAAATTCATGATTTATACTTCGATGGATCAAAATGTTTATTTGTAATGGGGTATGTAGAGAAAGAGAGAGAGAGAGAGAGAGAGAGAAAGTGGTAAAGTTAAAAATAAATAAAGAGCGCAAAGAAGAAGAGATAGAACTCTGAGGAAACGCTATATAATAAAAAAGGTAGCGTAGTTTAAAGAAAAAAAAAAACAAAAAGAGTGATTTATTCAAGAAAGATAAACTGCAGGTTGTAATGGTAAAAACCAGGATGGGGAAAAAGCGAAACTTAGAGAGAGAAAGGAATAGGAAACAAGCAAAAAAAATAAAGAAAGAGTAAGGAAAGACAGAGAAAGAAAGAGACGAGGACTGCGGGGTAGAGACAGAGAAAAAGAGAGTGTTCAAAGTTGTATTCGCGAAGTGTATTCACGAAAAGTAGTTGAGAACTCCGAAGATTGGGGTGGCTACAGAAGCGATGGGATAGGTAGATAGATGGAGTAGATTTGGGCTTGTGCAGTCGTAAGAAGATAAACGTTGCTTGGACACCAACAGAATAAAAGAGACAGAGAGAGAAAGAGAGAGAGAGAAAGAGAGAGAGAGGGGGGGGAGTAGTCATTCCTGAGTTATCCCGCTCCCATTTCTTGCATTTTCCTCGAAGTGAGGCGATGCGACGCAAGCGACGTGGACGAGAGAGATCGTCGCAACTGATTGCGTGCAACTTCTCACTGACTGCTGATTGTGATTGGACACAGGGCTGGTAAGTGGCGGTTTCCATGAGAAGAGGCTGCTGAACGACCTGCTGGACTCGTACAACGTGCTGGAGCGGCCGGTGGGCAACGAGTCCGAACCCCTCGTGCTGAACTTTGGCCTCACGCTCATGCAAATAATCGACGTCGTAAGTGCCTAATTATTTTCTTCAGCTTCTTCATCCGGCGTTGGACTGATTTTCCCTCGGGTCTTCAATGTTTAATCGAATTCGTCCCTTTCATAAATCCTTTTTTTGTCATTCTCTTACTATTTCTATTCTTTTATGCTATTTCTAAAAAAAAATGTGCTAATTTTTAAGCGTTCTTATTTTTTTATCTAGGATCTCTCTTTTCTTTCGGAAAGAGCAATAATGAAAAGAGCAAGCTGATTTCTATTAATATCTGTTTAGTAGCAAGAATTAATAAAAAAGAATATTACGAGTATAATTAAAATTAATTTTTGAAATCTTAATAATCACAGTTTATATGTATATTACTGTAATATCATTTTGGCATAAGCGTATTCCATATTACTATTTTATTCATATTATTAATATTCTATATCACTATATTATCCATTTTATTAATATTAATATCGGTGATGTATAAATTAAATGCGCATCAGTACACGTATCTTGTCATGAAGATGATACTCATATCAGATAATGTGACATATATCAGAAGTCTTGAATAGTCGTGAGAGAAACAATAATATATTCTTAAGCACATTAAAATAATATATCATATATATTTAATTAACGTTCCTATATTTGCTACGTCTATAAAATTTTTTATATTTTTTAAATTCCATATCAAACTAATTTTAAAAAATAACTTTAAAGGTGATTAACTATTAAAGTGATTAAGTATAAAGTATAAATATAAAAAGTTTTAATTAATAATACAATTGAAAGGTTTTATTTCTTTAGCGATCTGTAATATCTTTCAGATTATTTCTATAATGTTAGATATTAAAAGAGCAGGTGTAATCCAATTCCTTGAATTGAATAATATTTTATTGTTTTTAAAATTTTTTTTCATGTGTATCTACATCAATCCATTTCTGTGGTTTCAAAGTAAACAACGTCTATATTAACGTATGCTTTTAGCAAATAACAAATTAAATTTGTTGTTTATTGTGAGTATGAAATTTAATATATTTTCTTAAGTTATAAATTATTTAATCTTATAGTTTTAATTAAATTAATGATTTATTGAGTAGAAATAGTGACAAACTATAGACATGATTAAAGATAATTTAAATTATATATAATCTTACATTATGAATTTAATCATCAATTAAAAAAGTGCGATGGATTATATACATTCTATGTATAATATGTAGATTTACATATTTATCATTGACAAATACGTGTAGGTACTTTTTAATTACATATATTTCCGGTAATAAAATAAATATGAAGAGTTACCGTGATGAAGAATCTACGATTTATAGACGCGTATCAATGTAACATATAACATGCACCAACGAATAAAAGTATTCACAAATTCCGAAGTTGCGGTTTCAAGTTCGCCATAGATGAATCGCGTGCACTGATCAACGTCACAGATCGACGCTCAGCATTCGCCTAGTTCTATAGATTATAAATTGGAATAACAGCGTCAAGATTGTCTTTAGAAAATCGCTCGTCTTGACTATTTGTGTATTTGATTATGAGCATTTTGATAAAAGACGTTTCTATCATATATAGCTTCATTAAGTTCGTGTATTTCTATAAATAATTAAAAAAGAAAAGATAGCACCTTGTAATTTTGATGATACACACACACACACACACACACACACACACACACATTTTTTATTTTGTGTGTGTGTGTGTGTGTATCAAAATATATATTTATCCATCAAAGATATGTATAAATATTATAAAATTACAAGAAATTAAATTTTAATTCGGATACAAAAATTTGCAAGAGCAAATTAAATAAAAATTGACACATTGATCTAAAAATCTGTTGTGTCTAATCTTTTCAATTTCGACGTTTCAATGAAACATTTTAACATTTTTCAATACAAAAAAATTTTAATATTTTATTAATTCTGTTGAGTACTAGACATATTTGTATGTACGATGTATTTATAACATATTAGTTTCTTTTAAAATGCAATTTGTTAATTAGATTGGAATAAAAGTCAGCTGTCAAGTAACATTTTCATAAAAGGAAGAAACTTAATTCTACTGTGTTTAACTTTGCGAATGAAATACATCGCTTCGTCCGCCCTTCTATTTCCGCGGTTTGCGTTGGTTCAGTGAGATTATAATGGCGAAGTTAACGGACAACTTCCGCAAAGATGCAATGACCGAATCCCGTGTCTTGTATGCGAAACAGGAAGTTCTTAATTTCCGAAATCGTATTGTCGATTGGAGCCGCTACGGTTAGCTTCCATCTACTCCATGGCTTAGTCGAGAAAGGCAATATCGCCAGTTTCATGGTTCACGCGTGGCCCCGAGTATTAATAACGTGCATGCACACGAGCGTACACGCCACGCGCTTTGCACCACCGTTTATCTTCGACGTTGCACGTTGCAATTTTCGACGCAGCACCAGGGGATGCGCGATAAACTACCTAGAAGGATATCGAGTGGGACGTGAACGCGGTATTGTGATCATACTGGGTGTAATAATAATGTTCCGGTATTGATATTGAGAGAGCGCGCTGTGATAGTCTGTTCACCAAAAATTCAAAAGATTATTTACCAAACCAGACATGCCCCTCGAGTAAAACGTTTTTCGTATGTCGGATTATTTTCTAAAATAACATTAGTATTTCTAGTATTCTTATGATATTAGCATCTGCTTGTCAGCATTGCTGTACGTCCTTCATAACTAAAGCAATGCTGACAAGCAGATGCTAATATCATAAGAATACTAGAAATACTAAAGTATAAATATAAAATATTATATGCCAATTAAACAAGTTATTTAAAATCATTGCACGTTTATATATGTACTGAGAACACGGCGCGGTGATTATTAAAAGATGTAATTAAAAGATCTTTTGATTTAGAAAATATTCGTATCGCGGAATACAAATCAAAGTATATATAGTATGTACGCGTTGCTTCTAAATTTTTCAAAGAAATATGAATAAAAAATGAGTTTATCCTGTTTTCGTTATCCTGTTATGTCAAGTATGTAATATGTGGATCTTGTTTTTTATTTTCCTTATTATTCTTGAATTAGGTTGGGTATAACTTCTATCTTTTCTCAAATGTTCATTGTAACAAAACGTGTGTGTATATATGAGTGATCAAAGAAGAAAATTATTTTCAATTTAAAACGATTACATTCTATAATTGTTTCCTATATAAGCAACAATATAAAATCCTTTTTTAAAGAATTTGATAAAATCTCAAATTTCAATAATATTATATTTTTATATCAAACTATATTATATTCTTATATCAACAATATTATATTTTAATTCTCGATTTGAATTGTTATAATTTTCTATCGATATTCCCTCTTAAATTAAAAAAATTATTATCGAATAACGAAAACATATTTTTCTTGATATAAGCTCAAATTTTTTCATGTAAGCAAATTATCGATTTAACGCTAAATAATCTTATTATTAAGCCTTATATGTTGAAAATAAGATATTTTCAAAATAAGAATAGTTTTTTTTTGCTGTGTGATACACTAAAAATATTTCTTAAATTTTAATATTTAAATATTTGTTTGAATAATTATATCTAAACATTTATTTATAATAAGTAAATATTTACTCAATACAAAAAAATTATTACTTAAATTGATGATTTTTATATCAAATAAATATATATGTTTAGATTTACAGTAAATATTTAGCTAGAATTATTGCAACAAATATTTATTAAAATTTAATTAATTTTTTATCAGTATATATAAGTTTCAGTATATTTTTGAATACATATATTTATGAGCGTATGTGAATATTCGCAATGTATTGAGTTTGCTTCTGTGGGATTGCAAAGTCCAAATGACTGTGTGGATCAGTCATCCCTACGGGTTGCATCTAGATTGCACACCGCTGCATGTTGCTGCCATCTGCATCCTATGTACTCATGCACACGTGTCATTGCCTATCGCTTCTGCGCATTCGGGCATTTCGGTGTATGCCATTGCAATCTCTACGGATATTCATAAAAACCTAGTTGTATGAAAAGTGCATGCAAAATAGTAACTTATTTGGAATATCCAATAAAACCATGCTAAGATAGGTATTCGCGGTCTAACAACTCTTCTGTAAAACGTAATCATGTGGCCATCAGAAATACAGTAGAAAGTACTTTTCGGTATCCATTATCAAACATTTCAGCAAGCGAATTTTAAACCAAAATTTTGTTGAAATAAAATTAAAGAATAGAAATCTAGGATTGCAAACAGGAAGCTAAACTCATGAGATAAAGCTTATAAAAATATCTATTTTCATTCCAAATGATGATATTTAATTTCAAATTATTTGTAAAAAGTGACGTCTTTTTAAAAAAAAAAAGAGCTCGTAGCTCTTATTGTAAAAAAGTAATTTGTATTCCGCATATAATGAACGTACTCTCTAATTTTATTTTCAAACAATCAATAAGAAGCTTTTAATGTCATCGCACACTGAATTAATCGGTGGAAATTTAATTGTAGGGTGACGATATGCAGCGTTATATCGCTACCCGTCTTCCTCTAATCCGATAAGTATGAAGAAATATGGTGATCTATTTTTTTATCACATAGATTCAGACACGTCTCACACATACGTCACTGGATATAAAAACATTGTTGTCAATAAATAAATATATGCAAAGAAGCACGTGTACAAATCTTGCTATGGTTATTAAAGAATCGCAAGGTCAATGAATAGCGAACTAACGTTCATGTATCGCTCTTTATCAGCGGTAAAAGAGAAAATTTTGAAATTAAAAATATACTATTTAATTCAATTTGAAGTAATTAATGTATATCGATACCATTAATACTATTATAACGTGATTTACTTGATTTATTAATTTTGGAATTAATTTACATTTGTTCAATCTGGACATATTTTCTTCCTTTACGTGTTGTCTTTTATATATTAGTTGATTTATGAATTATTTATGTATTTTTACATTATTTGTCCATATTGATATTTGAAAAGCAGAAGAACATAAAATAAAAAAATCTCGTGTATAAATCTTTTCATCTTTTCATAAATCTCTATAAAGAATCTCCACTTTATATTGTATTATGAATAAATGTTTTCTAGATGGATCAAATAAATAAGTTTTAATAAATTCCGTGAGAAAAAAGCTGTTATTTTCTACAAATTGTTTCAGACGTTATATAAACAAGTTTCATTAAAAAAATGCCAATTTTTAATTATACAAAATAATAATAAACGTTTTATTGTAACATTGACTTGTACTTTGTATTT